ACACATTAAAAAACAATGATGATAACTTTGCCACCGAATTTGTACTAATTACTTAAAAGATTAAATTAAGCACTTCAACGCTTGTGAAATTAAAATATTCAGTGCGATGGATTGATTTTTTGCTTGTAATTAGAGCAAATAGGGAGATATATATATGTAACATCTACTTTCACATATCTAATACTTAAATTACAATTATTATAAATTGTTTAAATAGTCCTCAATTATTTACATCGAGCAGTTTTAGTCTCAAAATTTATAAAAGTGTCAAATTAATCCGAGACTCTTTAAATTGTTGCTGAAATAGTCAGACTAATAAAACTTAATTTTAAAATAATTAGAAAATATTTTGACACTTCTATAAATTCAGAGACTACAATAACTCAGTGTAAATAATCAGTTGATTATTATATATACAAAATCTTATAAAAATTAAACTAATGATATTTTTAATGTGTTAGGAGAATTTTGAACGAATGACAAAAATGTAATAAAATAAAATATAGAGGTTATATATGTAAATGCATGGTATTTGCGGGATATGCATATAAATGCGCCAAACAAATAAGATAAAATTTAATATTCGATGCCGTACATTAATCATATAGATTTGTTGGTTTCATAGTTTTAACGTATATAATGTCCATAAAATAAAGACATTTCAATATAAATGCGGAGAATAGATTTCTACAAAATGCTAAAATAAAAATAAAAAAGAAATAAGACGAGAACAAAGAGAAAGAAAACATATAATAATTAATCCAATAAAATAATTGTCAAAAGTGGACGAGGCCCTTAAAATATATGCAACAAATTTCGATTTATCCGCTAATGACGCAAATTAATTAATTAATTAACATATATAGCAATTAAGCAATTAGTAAATATCAAAATCATTAATTAATCAAACTAATGCTTATTTTTATATGCGCCGTTCCGTATAGGAACATTTCCGGCAGGTTTTAAGCTGAGGTCCGGCGGCAAAAAATTGTCACTCGGCTGCCCTAGCTTTAACTCGCATTTGGTTTCCGATGATGTTCTTCCAGAGAAATCTATGGCGGAAGAGCTTCGAATCCAAGCCCGCTCTATCCCAAATCATCCGGCGAAAACTGTTCGCCTCAACGCCGTCGCCGTCGCTGTCGCCGGCAGAGCGGCCGCCGGTTCTTCCTCCCTTCGAGCACCAAGCTACCCCCTACAACAAGATGATGGCCGACGAGATCCTCAAAAAGCGGAATGAGTTTCTTGGCCCCTCTCTCTTCTACTACTACAAAAAGCCAGTCAGTAGTTTTTCCTATTCGATGCTATTCAGGAATTTTTCTTCAATTTGGTTTTTATTTTTTCTCCTTTTTGCTTTCACTTATCATGATCCCATTGGGTGTTCAGCTCAACATTGTGGAAGGGAAGATGCAGTACCTTTATGATGAGAATGGGAAGCGTTATCTTGATGCATTTGCTGGAATCGTGACTGTTTCTTGTGGGCATTGCCATCCTGATGTAGTTAATGCGGTGGTGGAACAAACTAGGCTCCTGCAACACACCACCACGATCTACCTTCACCATGCGATTGTTGAGTTTGCCGAAGCATTGGCATCGAAAATGCCAGGAAACCTAAAGGTGCTGGCTTTACCTATGAATTATAGTATTGAGGCTTTATTTATGTTCTCTTATACAGGAAGGCTGTTTGAATGCAGGTTGTTTATTTTGTGAATTCTGGGACTGAAGCTAATGAGTTAGCGATGATGATGGCTCGATTGTACACTGGAAATCTTAACATGATAGCTCTGAGAAATGCATATCATGGTGGCAGCGCTGGAACGCTTGGACTGACCGCTCTGCATACTTGGAAATATCCAATTCCTCAGGTTTTATAAATTGGATTTCAGTGGAGATAGCTTCTTCTGTATATTCAATTTTTTTTACAAAACAAGAGTTTTCACTAAGATTTTATTGTTTCTTCACGGAATTATAGTTTCGTGAAAAAGAGTTCCTTTTGAACAACAACTGTCTAGGAACCTTTTTGGAAAATTATCTTTTTTCCAAGAGCACATGGCCTAAGCATAAGAGTCTAATCAATTATATGTTACATATTTTCCTGACTTCCACTGATAAATATTCAGGAATATTAGTCTGAATCAAATGGATGCATTTGAATAGAATTGCAATCTACACTTGTTAATATCTTGGAAAATTTTCCACTTCTTCATCCTCATAACCATCATATGCCAACTGTTTGAGATCTGCTCAATGAATCTTGTTCCATCAGTTCATTCCTGTTCAATGCTAGATATGATGTTAACTTTAGCTTATTTAAGTCTTTTTATATAGCTATTAGCCATATTTCCTTTGCGTAGGAGTGTAAACGAGTCGAGTTGAGCTCGAGCCACCCGAGCTGGAGCTTGAGCTTGATTAATAATTAAGTTCGAGATTGAGCTCGATCTTAAATCTATGAGTTCGAACTAACTCATGAACCAACTTGTTAGTATGAAAGAGAAAAAAATGTTAACTCAAGCTAGTGTTATAATTAAATGACAAAAAGAATGAGTTATTATGAGATAAATACAAGAAATTATTTGATATAAAATATTACATATAGTTTTTTGAATTGTTTTTAATAATTTTAAGATATAGACTTGAATTTTAATATGTTTTGTGTATAGTCTAAGTATATTTTATAGTGATATTTTTTTTAAAACGAGCCACTTCACAAGCTAACAATCGATTCGGGGTTAGGTTGAACTTGACTTGTTAGTTCACCAAGCCAGTTCACGAGCTACTTATCGAGCCAAGCCCAAGGTGGCTCATGAGTTGCCTTGGCTCAGCTACGCCCCAACGTTTCTTCAATACTCTCTCCTACAGTACTACTCAAGTTTCTGTGGCATCCAACTTAGCTTTTAGAGTCTTTTTTGCTTGCGAATACTGAGATAAGGATTGCAAGGCTGATTAGTTTACTTTCTTTTTCCATTCTTTGTATGATGAGTCATGTGTTGGGTGAAATTTGCCATTTATGCATCTCAGAAATATTTTAATTTTTGTACAGGGTGAAGTTCATCATGTTATAAATCCAGATCCATATCGAGGGGTTTTTGGCTCTGATTCTTCTTGTTATGCTAATGAAGTTTGCGATCATATTGCTTATGCTACTCCTGGAAAAGTTGCAGGATTTATTGCAGAAACATTTCAGGTCAACTTTTATAATTCAAAAGGCAAACATTTTATGCTCTGGGATCATATTAAAAACCAATTAATTTTTTTATCATACTTTCTTGTCTTTATTTTGTAGGGAGTTGGAGGTGCTGTAGAATTGGCTCCTGGATACCTAAAATTAACGTATGATATTGTTCGTCAAGCTGGTGGTGTTTGCATAGCTGATGAGGTTCAAAGTGGCTTTGGTCGCACCGGAAACCATTATTGGGGCTTTCAGACGCAAGATGTTGTCCCAGATATTGTCACCATGGCAAAGGTCTCTTATTTGTGCAAACATCAATAAGTTCCTTTTTCAAAATGTTCCAAAATTTATTATTGCATCACAATCTCTGGCATTTATTTCACTATTATATAACAAGAGTTGAAGTTCTAACATCAGATAACTGTTCATTTGTTGAAATTGCAGGGTATTGGTAACGGCTTACCGCTGGGAGCAGTAGTCACAACTCCTGAAATAGCTCAAGTGATGGCTCAAAGGATACAGTTCAACACATTTGGTGGGAATCCTGTGTGTTCTGTCGGCGGGCATGCAGTGCTTAAGGTTCTTGATAAGGAGAATCGTCAAACACATTGTGCCGATGTCGGGTCTCACTTGATTGGACGATTGAAAGAGCTTCAACAAAAGCATGAAAGTTAGTTTTTATTATTATTTTTTTTAACCTAGAATTTGTTTATTATACACCATTAATGAACCTACATTGAATTTTTGGAGTTCTCCCTATGCAGTTATTGGACATGTGAGAGGCAGGGGACTAATGCTAGGTGTGGAACTTGTCACTGATAGAAAAGACAGAACTCCTGCCAAAGCAGAGACTTTGATGTTATTTGAGAAGCTTAAAGGTAGTGTTGTTTGAATTTTTATCCTCTATTAGCGTTTGTCTTATGCTAAAAGATCTACTGAACTTCTTAGATCTGGGAGTTCTGGTTGGGAAAGGAGGTCTTCACGGGAATGTTTTCCGAATAAAGCCACCAATGTGCTTCACCAAAGAGGATGCAGGTTCCACTTAATCATTATTTTCATATCAATCAGATTTAATATCAGTTCATCATTCCTTGTTCCAATTTTCTTAAATAAAAAAATTGTTTTTTGGTTTGCAGATTTTCTGGCAGATGCATTGGACTATGCCATCTCCACTATGTGAATGTGTGTTATGTTCCTTGAACTAGAAATAATAGAGCTTCAATACCGGCTACAGAGTTCTGTGAGCAAGCATAATGTAATTTCTTCTTTGCTTCCTCTATGATGTTGAAATGTTTTGTTTATCTAAGAAGTTGAGAAATTTTGAGGAAGATTCAGATGGCAAGATTGTGAATCAAATAAAAATTTAAGGTATTGGAATTCAGTCTCTTGTTTGTATGATTAGTTTACTGTTATATTAATGAAGTTCTGATTGACATGATACATGTTACCAGCTCTCAATTATAAGTTATAAACTGCTCTCGCTATTTATAACACTTGATGCCTGAATGAATTGACTCTTTCCAACACTTTTTAGTCTGTGAAACTGTGGTGTTTGAATCTGTGTACCATTGCGTTTAACTTTCTTAGTTTAGATAAACAAGACCAAACACAATTCTATAGAAAACTAGAAATTATAAAGTTTCTCCTCTCTTGTCTCTCTTGCCACCAAAGCTTCATCTGAATTCATTTAATTGTTGTTAGAAACTTATTTTTAGCCCTGATTTAGAACTTGAGATGGAACATGAAAAATTTCGTATCTGTTCAAGATGAATTTTAAAGCTGCTTAGTATTTTTTAAGCTTAATCTTATATATAAAGAATGAATTAAAATTAAAATTAATGTATAATAATTTTGAAGTCAAACCTTTGAAGAAATTCACATGAAATTGATCATTAAAAAAACAACCAGAAATGCCTCTCGAGTAAAGGTGCAAGAGAAGAAATCTAGCCAAGCATCTCTTTTCTTACACAAACTTCCTTGAAAATGAAGCAAAATGACAGGAAAATGTTGTATGAAAAATGAAACAGCTTTTACACTGAAGCAAATGCTTTATATAGAAACATATACTGAGGTAGAATTTGCAAAGTATTTTTTACTACACCAGCCAGAAAAACCATACTCCAACTACAAGGGAATTAATTCTTTTGAACAGAGAATAGTTCATCAATAGCCTAACTGCACATTGAATTCTTAACTTTGAAGGTTTCAGAAGTGATGATATGTATGCTGGCTTAGATCTTCACAAACTCAGTCTGCTACATTAACGTTCAAACCAGTTTTTCCTGTCATTTAGGCACAGTAAAGCGAATATTTAAGTTTTGAGAAACTTGGAAGAATCAATATCCAAGTTATTGTACTCCACTGCTGAGAACCAAAAAGCAGGCACCAATAATTATATAAGCGAGGAGGAGAGCTAGGCCTTGTAGGTAGTGTGAAGTTCCATCCTGTAAGATTTTGCGGCTAAATGTTAAAAAAAAAAAAAATCAATTCTTTAACCAAGCTTGCAAACAAGCAAAATATTAAATAAACTGATTCTTGTTTGGTTTGGTCATTAGCTACTAAGATTAATAATGAGCTGCAAAATCTTATTCATGTTTGACTTGCTTATTCTAGAGTTGAACATCAGTAGAACACAAACTACAAATCAGAAAATGGAATATAAGACGAGCGACATTCCGTATCGGAATATATAAAAACAGGCACAGACAAAAATAAGAAAAGTGAGCATGGTTGAAAATGTATAATTGCATTACCTGCAAAGCAAATCCGGTTATCACAATTGAAAACACCAAAGAAGCTGTCTCCAATATTTTAAAATCAAGATTTGTTGGGACACCCATCATCCATGACACAATAACGCTAGATGGAACCTATATAATGTCTCTAAAACTATCAGCAAAAATGGGATGTTTTGTGAAGTAAACTATAGTCTCACCACAAACATGGAAATCTGAGTTACTGAACCCAAACGGACTCCAAGGCTTATAGCCTGCATCAAACAAACGTCTGTTATTGTTGGCCTGCTATCTTAAATAACTTTTAACCAAACTTTGAAACTTTTGCATCGTAATGCAAGCCTACTAACTTGTTTTTCACAGCAAACGTGACAGCACCAGCATGCTCTGCAGCATTTCCCACAGTGGATAGTAAAACTATGCTGATGAAACGCATGGATGGTCGCCAAGATTCTGATGCATCCTAGAGGAAGGAGAAATTTCTTAATTAAGATTATAATCATGCAAAGGTTGGTTATGAATGTGATGTGGGAGAGGGAGCTGAGCTTACAAGTTCTACCCAAAAAATAAAAAAAGAAAGATTAAAACAAGGGCTCAAATTATATTTTCATGATTGCATAAACCAGTCGTGTCCATGAAATTGAAATCTCTCCATGGAAATAATTATGCTCAAGACTTCTCTAATCAGAGTAAATGTTAAGGCGATGTCTTTAACCACATTAACATGCACCACTATTTTTAATACAGAGAACAACAGACAGTAAGAAAACGTCTTTAGAAATAAATCTTGAAAATTTTAATACAGATATGAAAGTGACAGAAAGGTGAAGACTAAGAACTCAAATTCACAAGGCAAAGAAAAGAGGACCACAAAAGAGCAATGAAGAAGCATGCACCTCAATGGTGCCTACAATAAATTCGGATAGAACTGCAATAACAATTGTAGCACCCAACAGCCAACCTTATCCTCAAACTCAGCATTATTGTCATCATTATTTTCCTGAACACCAGCAGAAAAGAGCAAATTCAATCGAATTACTTACAGATTTCAAACTATTTGTTGTATGGATGCTTCACCTCTCGTGCTTCAAAGAACTGCCAATGGGACTTACGTTGGAAGAAAATAAAGGCAATATAAACTGCAAGCATTACAATGCTCCACACTCTTAACAATTCCAGAGTTGGGACTGTCAAAATATCATGCTCACCATAGTTTACAGCCAATCGAAACATCAAAGGAAGCAAATTACACAGAGCACCCAGTAGCAATCGAGAAGTGTTCGCATCAACATATTTAGGGGTGTAAACAAACCGAACACGAGCGAACAAAGTTTGTGTTCATGTTCGGTTCGTTTGAAATTTAGTTTATTTGAAATAAGCTTGTGTTCGAAATTATTCGTGAGGAACGAGCCGAACACGAGCTGTTCGCG